TCCCTCCCCACCCTCGTCCACCTCAGACATTCTGTGCAGGAGTGCCCTCCTCACCCGCCCAGCCTCGGACTCCACACTCGACGGCTTCTCTCTCTCAGGCTCCGAAGGGTGCCCTGTAACCCTGGCTCTGATCTTGGTACCTCACACCACGCTTCTGTTTTTTGTCGAAGCCCTCCTTTCCAGCTTGGGCTCTGATGAATCATACTGGAAAGGAGGCTTCACTCATCATACTTGGGTGCTGACATACTGTGTGGGGGTGCTTGAACATGCCCTTACCACCTTAGGGAGGCATCCTCTGATCTCTAGCTTCCTCCCCCAATCTTGACACCTTGTCACCCTACTTGGGCTCTAACTGCACGCACTGAATTTCCCTCCCACTTGGATACCCTTCTTCCCTTGTTTGAGTTCCAACACTCTTCTTTGGGCCACTGTGACTGCCCTCCATACAGATATTATTTATTATGCTATGCTCCTGAGGATGACTTCTTTAAGACTAGGAGGGAGAAGAAGAGAAAGTGAAGATGAAGTTGCTCAGTCGTGTCTGACTCTTTGCGACCCTTTGTGGACTGTAGCCTACTACGCCCCTCCGTCCATGGGATTTCCCTGGCATAAGTACTGAAGTGGGTTGCCATTTCCTTCTCCAAAAGAAGAGAAAGGAGGCGAAAAAAAGGAAAAGGACATACCATTTCCCAGGTTTGCTCATTAGTCCTTCTAGAGGGAAATTGATGCATGGAAAAGTTCAAAAGTGGTCAATATGCTTCTTCTGCAATAGTAACAAAAGATTTGGACTAAGAAAAATTTGAAGTGATTAGAAAAATAAGATTTGAAGTTAAATGCCCTTTTCATTGGAGAATTGAACTTTTATTTCTCTTCTAGGTGTTTCATGCCCCACTCCACCCCCACCCGCCCCAATAGATGACTTCTAAATTAGACATTTAGACATGAAAAAGCTGGAATGAATATTTGTGCTTCTAGCCCAATTTTATTGTTTCATAGATGAGGGAACTGAGTCCTTGTGAGGTCAAATGGGGCTTCCTTGGTGGCTCAGACGGTAAAGAATCTACTTATAATGCCAGAGACTTGGGTTTGATCCCTGGGTCAGGAAGATCCTCTGGAAGAGGAAATGGCAACCCACTCCAGTATTTTTGCCTGGAGAATCCCATGGACAGAGGAGCGTCAAATGACTCTCCCAGGTTTCCCAGGTGACAAAGAAAGAGAAAGAACACTTTTCTACATCCTGGCCAGTGTTCTTGGCACTCTCTCTTCATTATTATCATTTAAAATTATTTGACCTCTAAGGCACATTTCTGAGAAAAATTACTTTTTATATTATATCTTATATTTTAAATTGAAAGTCCTTTTCTTCAATAATGATATTGTTGGTATACTGCTCTATTTTAGACCCTAAAACATTAAGTAAGTAGTATTTTGGTGACTGTATTTCATTAGATCTAGAAATCAGCCTCACCAATTTGGCTTTTAGTAACATTTTTTGAATACTCTCTTTTATAGCATGCTTACATTATGTTAACTGTTTTTGATGAAGATGCCAAGCAGGTTGATTATTATTTACTTTGCTATTTATCATCATGTGAGATTGATGGTTTGGCAAACTGTGTATCAGTTCAGTTCAGTCGCTCAGTCGTGTCCGACTCTTTGCGACCCCATGGCCCACAGCACACCAGGCCTCCCTGTCCATCACCAACTTCCAGAGTCTACTCAAACTCATGTCCATTGAGTCGATGATGCCATCCACCATCTCTCCTCTGTTGTCCCCTTCTCCTCCCGCCTTCAATCTTTCCCAGCACCAGGGTCTTTACCAATGAGTCAGTTCTTCACATCAGGTGGCCAGAGTATTGGAGTTTCAGCTTCAATGTCAGTCCTTCCAATGTATATTCAGGTCTGATTTCCTTTAGGATTGACTGGTTTGATCTCCTTGCAGTCCAAGGGACTCTCAAGAGTCTTCTCCAACACCACAGTTCAAAAGAATCAATTCTTTGGCACTCAGCTTTCTTTATGGTCCAACTCTCACATCCATACATGACCACTGGAATAACCATAGCCTTGACTAGACAGACCTTTGTTGGCAAAGTAATGTTTCTTCTTTTTAATATGCTGTCTAGGTTGGTCATAACTTTTCTTCCAAGGAACAAGCATCTTTTAATTTCATGGCTGCAGTCACCATCTGCAGTGATTTTGCAGCCCAAAAAAATAGTCAACCACTGTTTCCATTGTTTCCCCATCTGTTTGCCATGAAATGATGGGACTGCATGCCATGATCTTAGTTTTCTGAATGTTGAGCTTTAAGCCAAATTTTTCACTCTCCTCTTTCACTTCCATCAAGAGGCTCTTTAGTTCTTCTTTGCTTTCTGCCATAAGGTGGTGTCATCTGCATTTCTGGGGTTATTGATATTTCTCCCGGCAATCTTGATTCCAGTTTATGCTTCATCCAGTCCATCCAGGCAAAATGTATCTATCTATCTATATATCTAGAGAGAGAGAGAGAGACAGAGAGAGAGAGCCAAATAACTGATGAATAAAATTTTATTTTAAAAATCCACAATATAAAATTTATATTACTTGAAACCCATTCACATTTATGGAAAGTTCAACATCTTATCAACATTGCAGTTCAACTGGGAATGAAGAACTTGCTGGGTTTAGGTGAACCATTTAGAACATTCATTGATTTCCAAGAATCACCATGAGTTATTGGGGTCAAAAGGAAAAACAGGCAGCAAACTATATGTAAGGATCCAAGGAAAATCTTGAAGTGTCCTCATCAGTTGTGTAATTTAAGAACTTAAGTGTGATATGAACATACTTCAGGCCCTTGGTGAAATATTTGCCCTCTGGCACCAGTGCTCTGTAAATTAGTAACAACAAAGACACAGATTTCATAATTGGAAGGGACACATCATAAAGATCACTTTGTTAATCTTCCTCCAAGGCAGGAATCCTACTACATACCCATGAGTTTGAATTACCTTCAATCATGGGGAAATCACTACCTCCCAAAGCAGTTGTGCCTTATTTTCTGCAGAAATCTTCCTCTTGGTAACTCTGTCCTCTTACTGCTTCCTTCCGTGCTCTGTGGTTAGAACACAGGCAAACCTTCTTCCTGGCTTCCCTGGCGGCTCAGTGGTAAAGAATAGGCTTGCAAAGCAGGAGATGCGGTTCCGATCCCTGGGGAAGATCCCCTGGAACAGGAAATGGCAACCCACTCCAGTACTCTTGCTTGGGAAGCCCAGGGATAGAGGAGCCTGGTGGGCTACAGTTCATGGGTCACAAAAGAGTTGGACAGAACTTTAGCGACTAAACAACAACAAAACTTTCTCCATAGGGACAATCCTGCAGATATGTCCCCCTAGATCCTCATCCTTCTGGAATTTTCTCTCCGTGTCTCTTTCTTCCACCATCTAAGTTCCTCGTGGGAAATGAGATTGCTTGCCCCTTGTCTGGATTTAGTGCCTCTTTTAAAACGTGCTGTTTTAAGAAGCCGTGCCCTCCCCCGTGAAATACAAGAACAGCGTTCTGAATTCCTCTTACCGTCCTTCTGTCCCAGTGAATCGTGGTTTCACTTTATTTCTGGACAGTGGTAGCTATCAGACGCAACCTTTGCCCTCAAACACCGCGTTCACTTTGCACAAACTTGTTGACCTTACACCTAAGTCGGCTTTTCTTGAACTCTCATCTGAACAAACAAACAATTCACTCTGATCTGCGGATATCCCGTGCGGCGTCAGGAAGGGCCGGGTAGAGCAGTGCCGGCTCTGAGCTGGCCACCACCGCTCCAGATTGGGTTTCCTTTTTCTCTTGGCTTTAAGAAAGACAAAAAAGCAATTCCTGCTAAATCTCTTAGACAATGCTGACGGTTCCAGGCTCCATTGCAGGAAGCTGGTTTCAACAAGGTAACAAAGAGACCGCCAAGGTCAGAAAGGAGGCGAGAGAGATCGACCGGAAAGTGGCCTTCAGGTAACTCCCCGAGGGTGAGGGTGGGAGCCGGCGCCGCTGGGGGTAGGGGTGCGCCCCGCCCGCCAAGAGGCGAGGGCTGCGGCTGTGCGCCCCGGCGTGGACGCGCGCGGGAGTCCAGGCCGGCGAGTGTGGCACCACGTGCTGCGGGGAGGCGGGGACAGGGCCCTCCTCCTCCGGTTATTTGTAAAGAGCGCGGGGCCGGAGCTCAGAGTTTTCACTGCGGACTCGCCAGGGATAGTGTTGAGAGAGGGGGAGGGAGGGGAGGAAAGAAAGAAGGAGAGAGAGAGGGACTGACTTACGTGGACAAAAACAGACGCAGAAATACAAAGGCGAGGTGAGAGGTTAGCAGGTCAGCTCACCTACTTCTCTGCTTGCCAAGGAAGATCTGGGAGAGGGAGGGTCCCGTTTAGACGGTCAAACCCCAGGACCCCGAAGGGGCCATTTCCTGCAGCTGCCTGGGGACTGCACGCCTCACCCCTTCTAAGTTCGCTGATGGAATTAATCAGAAAGAAAGGAAGGGGAGGTGGGGTTCTGTGGCCAGTGTAGTTTTCGTCCTAAAAAGTGACTTGGTTTGGGGCTTTAGATCCGGAAGGAGCATGTCTCATCACACTGTAAGCTAATCCTGGAACGTCTGCAAACTGCGCTCCGGGGCAGTTGGCCCCAAGCCCGGCGGGGCGTTCGAGGGCTCCGGCCTCGCAGTGCTCCCGAGGCTGGCCGGCGGGTAGCCGGGTGGCCTTTATCTCTGTCCCCCTTTGTCCTTTTTATCTCAGGCTCTCCAGGAGGCCCGGGGGCCCGCTCTGTCTATCGCTCCCACCCCCCCGGCTGCACCGCCACTTCAATGCCCGGCAGGTCGCGGGCTGCTGCTATTTCGAAGGCGCCGGACGACCAGGTGCGCCCCGCGCCACTGCTGACCCGGACCGGGGCCGACGCCTGACCGGCGCCCTTGGGCACCGACGCGGCTGCGCCCGGCACGCCCCTGTGCGCTCCAGTCCGTTTTGGGCCCGTGAGGGGCAACCCCGGCCAGGATGGCCCCGGGTCGAGCGGTGGCTGGGCTCCTGCTGCTGGCGGCCGCTGGCCTCGGAGGGGAGGCGGACGGGCCTGGGCTCGCCTTCAGCGAGGATGTGCTGAGCTTGTTCGGCGCCAACCGGAGCCTGTCGGCGGCGCAGCTCGGGCGCCTGTTGGAGCGTCTGGGAGCTGCCCCCGAGGAGGGCGCCCCCGAGCCGGGACAGCTGCACTTCAACCAGGTACGGCCGGGTCGGGCCGCCCTTCCCCAAACGCCGGGGTGTCCGGAGACGTCCATTTGTACTTGAACGTTGATTAAAGGGGACAAGCGCAGGAGAAAGAACTTAGTTTTGTCTCTCATGTGTGAGGCGGGTCCTGCTTTTTTTTTTTTTTTTAAAACTGGATCTGACTTTCTAGCCGGGGTTAAAGGGCTGGCGGTGACGAGGGAGCCAGAAATTGCAGTTTTATGCCCGATGAGTTGAGCCGTCAGACGCTTGTGCTTATAAGATTTTATGCAAAAGGTGATGAAGTAGTTGAGTGTGGGAAGCACCTTGAGAGATGCGTTTGAGATAGGAATGGCGCACCTAAGTCTTCCTGGCGGAGATAGTGGCTCACAGGCTCTCCCGTTAACAGCCGCTTGATGGGTAACGACTGCTAGCGAGGTATAATGTAGTTCTGTCTTTCCCATGTAAGTTACAGGAGGCACTTAGGGCTGAAGGGCTTACTGTATAGAGACCAGGAGGCCGAGGGGGCTCTGAGACCAAGACCACACATCCAACTGGTGATGGAACTGGGTTTAGAGCCATAGTTTTTGTTCATCTATCAGGTCAAAGGTTTGATTCTAATATTCATGCATTCATTCATTCAAACAAAAAGAAAAAAACCAAAAACCTATCTTAGTACAGATACACAGCATTAGTTAGGCGTTTGGTAATTCTTAAGATTTAAGGATCACCCTAAGTTACCTAGGCGCAATTAGGACCATACCTGTCAGTAAACCTCAAAAAGGGTATTAGGGATTCTTCGTTATTTCCATAATAAATAGCCTATGATTATTTCTTAAAATTGTGAAATAAGCAAAGTGTGCTTTTAGCATCCTCCCCAGAAATCCCCACTCCTTTTTAAAACTCTGTTAACTCAGTACTTTGATTGTTTTTTTTTCCCCCTTCTGCTGTGGTTCCAGTGACAACTGATGATGAATGGCAGTATTCAGTACTTTCCGTATTGTTTGTCACTTCTGGGTGATGTTAGTTTGTGTTACAAAAGGTTTTGTGGTCCAAAATGTTTGAGAATGTTAAAAAATATTTGGGAATGTTATACTGTTACTCTACTCCTGGAAATCTAGTTTCCCAATGTATCTGGCCTTTGATTACAATTAGGGAAATTTTAATCAGATAGTGAAGTGAATGTTGCTCAGTTGTGTCTTTGTGACCCCATGGATCATACAGTTCATGGAATTCTCCAGACCAGAATACTGGAGTGGGTGGTGGTGGTGGTTTAGTTGCTAAGCCGTGTCCGACTCTTGCAACCCTATGGACTGTAGCCCGCCAGGCTTCTCTGTCCATGGGATTCTCCAGGCAAGAATAAATACTGGACTGGGTAGCCCTTCCCTTCTCCAGGGGATCTTCCCAACCCAGGGATTGAATCCAGGTCTCCCACACTGCAGGCAGATTCTTTACCAGCTGAGCCACCAGGGAAGCCCCTTTAATCCGACAAATTCTTTGCTGATAACCTTATAGTTTGGCATTCATTTTGTTAGAAATACCTTACCTCAATTAAAACATGCAGTACAAAAAATAAAAAAATAAAACATGCAGTACATAAGAAGTATAAGATGCCATGAGGTGTCAGAGTGCGCGTCCTTTGATTTAGAAGGGTTTTATAGTCCTCTTATGCAAGTTCTTTAGTAAACTATAAGATTCTTGCATGGCATTACATGCCAGAATGTAATGGCTAAGAAATGATACATTGGAAAAACTGAAATGACTTCATATTATATTGATGTTTTAGAAAATAAGGCAAACAACTAACTTCATAAGTATTTTCCATCTAATTGCAGACTCTTCAATCAAGGGAAACAGCTGAGCTGACTAAAGCATTTCTAGATAGGAGCAGGAGTGGTCGGTCATATGCTTGGAAAGAAGCTTGGGGACTTGACTTGCAGCTGCATATCTTTAGCCTACACATTGTTTTGACTTAAATTATCTCCTTATCTTGCAAAGTTTGGAGGTGCTGGTGAATTATAAAGGGACAAAAGACTCCTGAACCACACCTTGGCAGACAGTGGAAAATATACCTAAATAATTTAAGAAAATTGCTTAAGTTTGTTAGCAATATGATTCCCAGTTTATGAGTAAGTAGGTACCTCAATAGGTAAATTATATCTATGTTGACACCTTGTTTTTCATTTTTCTGTTTGCATATTTAACTACCCTCATTATGGCCTCTGTGGACATCAAAAAGAGATGGGGAAAAGCCCATAATTACTTTGGAAACAAAGGGAAGCCAAGGAAAATTTATCACTTGATCAGACCTAGCAATCATCTGTTTGATGTTTTAAAAAAGTTCTACTGATAACAACCATCATCAGTTAAATGATGTCGAATGAAATACCATTCCAGAAGAATCTGTTAATTTGCTGGCATTTACAGCTGCTCCAGCAGGAGGCTATCCAAATTGGAGCAAAATTCAGGGTTGTTAATATCTCCATACCTTAAAGAAGGTAACTTCAGTTTCCTCACCTGCAACAAAGTAGAATAAGAATAAATGTGAAAAACATGATTCTCTGACTTTGAAGACAGTTGAAAAGATAGAATTTATTTCTTTGGGCCAGGGATTTATTGAATCTTATATGAGATCTATTTACAAATGACATTATTTTTTTGGATGAGGGCTTAGGCCAGTTTTTCCGCAGACTACTGTGCTAAAAATTTAGACAGTCTCGGAAGGTTTTCTAATATTTTTTCAGTATCCCTAAATACTATTAGGAGAAGGAAATGGCAGCCCACTCCAGTATTCTGCCTGGAAAATCCCATGGACGGAGGAGCCTGGTAGGTTACAGTCCATGGGGTCCTGAAGAGTCGGACACGACTGAGCGACTTAACTTTCCCTTTTCACTTTCATGAATTAGAGAAGGATATGGTAACCCCACTCTAGTATTTTTGCCTGGAGAATCCCAGGGACAGAGGAGCCTGGTGGGCTGCGGTCTAAGGGGTCGCACAGATTTGGACACGACTGAAGCGACTTAGCAGCAGCAGCAAGTATTATTAAATTAGTTTGTTGCTTTGGGACATCAAAGTGACCTGAGTTCAAACTGGAGACAATGGAATAGTTGAGTTTACTGTTTTGCTTCTTATGGTTTCTGAGGGTACAAAGAGCAGGTAGAAGAAGCAGGCCAAACGAGTGAGAGGAAAGAGCTCTTTTATCTAAATGGGTCTCTGGGGCCCAAGACAAAGTGTAGGTCTGCTCTATCTGAGGGAGTTTCTAGAATACAAAGGGATCGCTTCTTGGCCTTTTGGCTAAGATCAAGTGTAGAATACAAAGGGAAGCCCCAACTGAGTAAATACCCTGGGTGATTAATTTAGGGGATTTAAGAATGGGCTCCTGGAGAAGGAAATGGCAACCCACTCCAATATTCTTGCCTGGAAAATCCCATGGACGGAGGATCCTGGTAGGCTACAGTCCATGGGGTCGCAAAGAGTCGGACATGACTGAGCGACATTCACTTCTTCACTTCACTTCAAGAATGGGCTCAGTGCCACCTTTTATTTGTTCTGATAGTCCTTCTTTCTCATTCTCCAAGTGGTCTTTTCTCTTCATTTCTCCTTCAAAACCCCTCATTTCTAAATTATCACACTCAGCTGCAGGAAATGTTTCTATTTAAATCAGTCTCCTGGGGAGGGTTGGTGGGGGTGATGGCGATGTGGGTGTGGGTGTGGCAGGCTGTCTTGTGAGGCAGCCTTTGTTTCCCACCATCACTCAACCTTTGATTTTTGCGTCTCTCTCCTAACTTCATTTTTTTCATTTGATAAAAATCTTGCAGCATAGCTCCTGCATCTTATTTTTTTCATTCACAGGTTGTTTTAAAATATCTTTCAATTCATATTCAGTCTTCATAAAGCAATACTTGGAGTATGCCTCTCTTCTTTCAGTTCTCCATTAATTCTCTTGGCTGGTGAAGTCTAAATCTGGAGTTTGGCATTTGAGGCTCTGCACAGCAAGGTTAACCCTAAGATATCAACCTAACCTGCCCAGAGCTAGCACTCACTACATTAAACTAGTCATTCTTCTATGACTTCACCTTATATTTTTATTCAAGGTGATTCATTATCTTCATTATATTTATTTATCATTATATTTATTCAAGGAAGATTCATTGTCTTCCTTGCACCCTTTCCTGTTCCCAGATGGGTTGTCCTTCATTTACTTGAATTACCCTCTCAAAATCTTACACTTTTAAAAACCCAGCTACACTCTTCTGTAAAATATTTCTAGGACTTCACAGCCACTGCTGATTTGCCGATTTCTCTTTTTTTGAATTCTTGAAATTTTTTCATTATGCTGATGAGACTTAGCTATTCATGTGTTTTAGAAATATTTTGAATAACTACTATACTCTAATTAGAGTGGTCTTTTAAAAGTACGAACCTAACCATACTGCTCATTTTTTAAGAACAGTTAAATATCTTCAAGACAAACTTCAAACACTTTAAAGTGGCTTAAGTCTTTTTATGGTCTGTTTCCTGTGTATTTTCCAAGTCTTATCCTTTGCTACTACTCCATTCTTCATAGACTGCTGGTAGTTCCTGGTTCTGCATACACATCTGCTTATGCTTTAGGTATCAGTTTAGACATTACTTCTTCCAAGAAGCCTTTCTTAGCCTGTTCAGGGGTTTAGTAGAAGCCCCTGTTAATAATTGGTGCCTCTGCAATCATAACATATATTGAAATTGTAGTTTAATATGTAAATAATTTATATATATTTAAATTTTCTGCTCACATGGTTGAATGTCCTCCCCTCCTCCAATATGATTTTGAACAAATTGAAGGGAATGATCTGACTCATCTCTTCAGGGGCTAGTGTAATGCCTGGTACACAACACATATTCATTATATGTATATATATATACATATATATATGTGTATATATATGTATATATAATATATATACATATAAAATATATATATATATATAATATATATATACATACACTTTTTTTTTTTAAGCCGAGCCAGGTGGCTT